GGGCGGGCGGGCAGATAGACGGATCGCTGGAGACCCAACCTCCCGGACAGAGGCCCGGCCCCGAGGCTCACCGTTGACCCGCAGGCCATGGCGCAGCTCTGTGCTGCCCGCCACGTTGGACGCCACACAGCGGTAACTCCCAGCATCGGAAAATCGGGCCCGCTCGATGAGGAGAACCCTCCCGTCCCCCGACACCGTCACCCCCTCCTGGGTGGAGACAGGCTGGGGGCCCTTGAACCAGGAAATATCTGGGGAAGCGAAAGGAGATACGAGGGGTCCTGTCCATCCTTCCACTCTGCCCGGACAGCAGCACCAGAGAGCGGCTCCGGGCTGGCCACAGGACTGCCATTATCCCTGGGGGGCAGGGGGCGCTCCCCAGGGTAGCAGGTGAGCTACTGGGCTCCTCCTGCCCTCTGAACACTGACACCTCGTCCCAGCCTCCCAGCCACCCCTCAACTGCTGATCTGGGGGCCCAGGCAGAGGACACCCCGAGGTGCTGGTCCTCACCCCCTCACTCCATGGGGGCTGTGGCGCTTCCAGGCAGACGCCCTGCAGCTTCAGCACAGACCCTGGCAATGGCTGGCACATAGCAGATGCTGGCAAAACCAACATCTCCCCATTTTGTCCACAGCCAGAGAAGGAGCTGACGCTGACGCTGGGGGGTTCGCTGGGGGCCGCAGGCACGCTCGGTCCGGGGGGCCTTACCGGGGGCGGGCACACCCGACGCCAGACACTCCAGGGACACCGAGGTGTTTTCCAGCACTGCCTTGTTGGTGGGGACCGGCTCGATGTTGGGGGGCACTGGGGGAGACAAAGAGAGCCGTGGCTTGGTGGGGCGGGCTCTGGGGTGCCCCTCCCCAGCTTCCTATGGGGTCCTGGGCACAATAGCCATGTCCATCAGCTGAGGCCTCCCTCTCAAACGGAGGTGCGGGCCGCCACCTTCACCGCGACCGGCACAGCTGGCCTCCAGCCCCCCGGACCGTGGACCCCCACACGCCCTGGGCCCAGGGCGAGAGGAGCCCTCCGCGCCTTGGGGGACGGGAGTGGTGCAGCCATCTTGGAAACACTGGGCCGGTCTTAGGGAACTAAAACAGAAAGGTGACGCTCTCCAGCGCCCCACTTCTGGCTATCGGAGGAGCAGGCGGTCATCGGCTTAGAAGGTGCCCACGTGACGTGGGCTCTCTGCACAGCCGGCCTGCGGGGGCGGGGGCCACGCCGTGCTCCCCGCTGTCGGCCGAGGACCTGCTGTCGTTTGCAGCAGACAGAAGGAGCTGCAGGGGATTCTGGGAAATGGAGAGAGACAGAACGACAAAGAGTGGGTGCACACGGGGACACGAAACAAGTGGGACCGGACACGGAGGCCCAGGCGGGCTGCCGTCAAGGCCGCGCTGTCTGGCTCTTGAAGACAGAGGACGAGTCCCGGAGGTGGGGGGGCCCGGCCGGCATCAAGCAGGCAACGGATGTGGCCCCCAGGAGGGGACACACAACCGTGGACCCCTAGAGTGAGAGCGGGGCTGGGGGCCCGGAGCCCGGCCCTCCCGGGCGCCCCCGAGCCGCCCTCACCCAAGACCTTGAGCGCCACGTCGCTGCTGCTCTCGCCGGCCGGGTTGGTGGCGACGCAGGTGTAGACGCCCTCGTCCCTCAGGTCGACCTTCTCGATCTGGAGACGGAGCAGGCGGGAGGGCAGTGTGCGTGGGTGGGGTGCAGGGGCCCGCAGCTGGGGCTCGGTGGGCAGCTTGCCCGCCTGGGCCCAGGGCAGGAGGCGAGGCGGGGCCCCGCTGGCTCTCAGGGGCCCCGAGCCACCCCCTCGGAGTCCAGGGGGCCCCTCTGATCTTGTGCTGGTCCCCCCCTTTTCTCATCCGGGGCTAAAGTCTCGGGGGTCCTAGGCTAGGAATAAAACCGCAACGGGATGTGCGTGCGGAGGTCACCTCACGGGTCCCGGCCATTGCCCGCCGCCAGGGCCCCCTCTCCTCAGACCCCGCCCGCACCCACGGTCCTCTGAGAACCCCAGGTTCCGTGGGCTCCGTGTTCACCTTCCCACGCCCGGACTGCCAGGACCCCACTTGGAGGCTCCCAGGCCCTTAAAAAGCACCTGCAGCCCACGGCTCCCCCAGACCCGGGGCCCCCCGCCCGTACCTGCAGGCTCCCCCCCGAGGCAGCCAGGGCCACCCCATCCTTCCACCAGCGGAGGCTCGGCGGAGGCACCCCTGTCCCTTCACACCGGAGAGTGACAGGCTGCAGGAAAGGGGCTGTGACGTCCTCACCCCCGACGATGACCACCGAGGGGAGCTCTGGGCGGGAGAGCCGGGGTGAGCGTAGGTCAGGCTGAGGAGGGGAGCGGAGGACACCCAGCAACCCCTCGTGCCCCAGAGGCCCTGCGGGGCTGGCCTCCCGCCTCCCCACTGACCACTCTGTCCCCCCAGGTACTGGCTTGGGCACCAGGCCGGGGCTGGCAGGGCAGGTCTCTCCCTTTAAGACTTTCCTGTCCGTCCGTCCGTCCGTCCGTCCGTCCGTCTGTGCACGGAGCCGCCACGCTGTGCCCAGGGGCACAGCAGAGAAAGGTGTGCACTGAGCTGCCCGCTCAGAGCTCCCACAGCCGGGCAGTACAGATCAGAGCTGTGGTGGAATCCAGGAGGTCTTCCTGGAGGAAGGAACACCCCAGGACAGGCAGGGAGGAGCCAGACAGGCAGAGCAGGGCAGGAAGGCCCAGGCAGCAGGCCAGCGCCTGCTTGGAGGAGAGAGCTGATGCTGAGCGAAGGTCAGGGTGGCCAGCGGGCAGAGAGCAAGGACAGTGGGTGGGGAGCGAGGGCCTGAGGCCTGGACAGGCAGACGGGCGAGCAGCTGAGACCAGCCCACACGTGGCTCCTTGGGGAGTCCCCAGGTCAGAGGGCCAGACTGCCGTGCCCCCTGACCCCACCACCCCGGCGAGTCGGGCACGCCTCACCGTGCACGGACAGCTCCACCTCGGCCCCGGCAGTGCCCGCCTCGTTGGTGGCCTGGCAGGCGAAGAGGCCGGCGTGCTCCGGCTCCACGTGCTCAATCTGCAGTGCGGTCCCCTGGGGGGCCACCTGCACCCCAGTCAGCTGCTCCGCTGGGCGGCCGTTCTGCAGCCACCTGGGGGGGGGCGGTCAGCTGAGGCCAAGGCCACAGGCCAGGCCAGGAGGCCCAGTGGTCTCTGAGCTCGTGGCCTCGCCCACACTCCCGGGAGGAAGGAGCCTCTCCGGCCCCCCACCCCGCCCCGGGCACGGGCCTTGCCGCCTCCTGTCCCCAGCCTCCACCGCCCCACACGCACTGGATAGTGGGCACCGGGGAGCCGGAGGCCTGGCAGGGAAGTTCCAGGGGCTGTCCCACGAGGGCGGTCACCTGGCCCAAGCCTTCGGCCACCAGCAGCTGCGGGGGCACTGCAGGGGAGACCGCGGGTGCTTGGCTGAGCAAGCGGCCGAGGCCCGCCGAGCCCCAGGCCCTGAGCAAGGCCACAGCCTGGTGCGCCCGCCAGGTGCCCGTTCCGGGAGCCTTCTGGAAGGCTCTGCCCTCCGCCCGCCTCCCCAGTGGCTGCCTCCTCAGTGTCTGGGCTCAGGAGCCCACCTGCTGCCCCCTGCTGCCCCCGCACCACGCAGGACTGGCCGGGGCCAACAGCTCCACCTGGCATGGAAGGAAGAGGGCCCCGCCCCGCCCCACCCCGCAGCCCCGTCGGGGCTCCGGGGAGCTCTCCGTGAATGCACGGCCACTCCTGGGAGGCGGAGTGGTGGCCTCGGACCTGGGTGGCCTGGTCGAGGGCCCCTAAGTGCTGAGGGACCCAACCCGGGTCTCAGGCCACACAGGACGCCGGGC